CAGATACCACTGGAAGAGATGATGCGTAATCGCACTGCCGACCGGAGCCTGGACAGCTCGATGCAGGATGTTACGTCTGTGGCGCCGGATCAGGACAAAGCCAGTATGCTGGTACGACTTACTAGGACCAGATTATCCTATACTGTAATTTGCTGTCAACATTTTGCTGTGTGTCCGGGAGTTCTTTTGCAATTTCCCTACAGGTAGGCCACGGTGTCTGCACTACTACTTGTAGATGGGTACAACGTAGTTTTGGCGACAGTCAGATTTGAGAAATTATCAGTGGTATCAGTGACAGGAATTCTTTTGCTAAAACAACACCAGTGTCGCCGGTATAAATGTAGTACACTGTACAGTACCCTGTGGCACCAACGTATACCACTTACCTGCAAGCTGCGATACTGGGATCGATGAAAGTCTGCATCGTTCTTGAGCACAGCACACCAGCTTTTTTTTGCCGTTATAGCACATGCACACCAGGGCACAGTGTGCCAGGCGTTGCACCCGAGGACACTTGCGCACATCCTTGGTTCCTGCCATATGCTCATTTCTCTTGTGTAGGTTCATCTTGGTACACCTGCTCCGAGTACAGCCAACATCCCGCACCCACTGTACACGACGGTACCCGGCGGTGATGACGACTTGGAACCGGACTATCAGGAGCTGAACAACGCAACGCTGAAATCTCGCACGGCACCCGCGCTCGAGCCCGAGGGCGCCTCTCTGGCTGCCGCATCCGAGCCACCATCGCCGAGCCTGGCGGGCGGAAGGGACTCGGCATCTCCCACGGCCCGTGATCCGACAACCGGTGAACCAATGTACAATGAGGTATGTCACACACACGTGTGTGTGTGTATGTATGTGTGTGTGTGTACGTGTGTGCGTGTGTATGTGTGTGTGTGTGTGTGCGTGCGTGCGTGCGCGTTCTGTATTCGTTGCTGTGTTTCGGAGATTAGTGTGAAATGATTCTAATGAGCACCCATGTCACGGTCGCATTTATTCACTTAAGATTTTGTTTCTTGATGGCATAACAATGAAATGCATATACTTCGAAGTATCCAACAAAATGTTGGAATGTAGGCCTTGGAGCATGGCGTAAATGATTTTAGCTCAGATGGATATGCTATTTGTACTGGTTGCGACTGAAACCTGACCTAGTGAATTATAATGCCACAGGGGCATTCTAGGAGTATATGTCATTGCGGTTTCCAAAGGCTGAATACCATGAACTCTGGGCAGCTTGGGGAACTCTGCTATGTTTGTATCTGACAGGCCACAACTGCACTTGTTGCTGTTACCGCCGTTGTCGTTGTAGATTATTGCCGAGTGCTTCTGCTTCTGCTTATGCTTCTGCCGCCGCTGCTGCTGCTGCTGCTGTCGTTGCTGCTGCTGCTACTGCTGCGGATATTATAATTTCAACTGGGGACCCAATCCGGCTATATACTCGTACTTGGCTGATATGTATGACATGGACATTATCACCTTTATCTTGTTCTTTCTTTAGATTCCCAATGATATTCCAAAGGTTTCCGTTCCACCAGCTGCAGTGGCAACGTCACACACCTCTGTATCGTCCCAGGCAACTGAAGATCCAAACTACGAAGAAGTGCCTGAGAAGCCCCAGTCAACATCAGCTGCTGTTGATATCGTTGTGACAGTCAGCTCACCGATGGGTGAAACCAAGTCTGTTCACAGCACGAGCGAGGGGTAAGAGGTAGTGTTATCGATCCAGCCATGCAATGCCGCACTCCTATGATCATTCCGCCCAGACCCTCCATTTTGAGAGCTGTGGGTGGGTGAGCGAGGGGGGGGGGGAGGGGTATACGTTACCATCTTTCATTAATTTCAGTTGTGAAGAAAGGGAAGGGAACGGGTTGTAAATGTACATACAGTGAACCGAATGGTGAGGTTGTCGTACCGGTATGATCCTTCAAAACGTCAGCATGCTGAGTTGCAGGACGAGCACAAGTGACGGAGTCAGTTGGTTGCGTCAGTGAGATAGCTGTGGCGTGGTTCGGCGTACCGGTACAACTTTCCCCGATATCCCAAACCCATGCAATAAGGCAACACTGCCTGTTTGTTCTTCAACATTAAATACACCAATCCGATCCAATCCAACCCCAACAGGACAGGATGATGGTAGAGATGTTGCTGATGGCAGATCTTGATTTTGACAGGTCGCGAGGCGAAACAATTAACATTTTTCTTCACAGCGGACACACAACTGCAGTTCACACAGCGTCCCTTCTTACCACATCCACAGCAGTAGCGCGGCATTCTCACGAATCGAATTGGGGATTGTCGAGCAGAGCTCTGTGCAGATCTTATTACTATACTATTTTACAACAGATCATCGATAACAATGGGAAACTGCAGCCCACGCACGACAGAGTGTTTCAAGCATGACATAGTCGGATATGGTGACGAATCATAAATACGGATATTTTTGCTTCCTGGCTTGAGTGTCATTTTGCCCAAGCCTCGCTATCTCAGAGAATGCAATACTGTAAAAGCAGAAATTTTCCGTGGTGTTTTATTTTCGGTAACTTCGGTGCCGACAACTATTACCGAAAATAAAACGCACCGAAAATTTTGGTACAACCTGTACTGTATACATTTTAGTGCTAGTACACTTACCTGGAAAACGGGTTTTACCGAAAATTTCCCTCCACCGAACCGCCGATTTTGGAGAATACCGAAAATACTACACCACCGAAAATTTCTGCTTTTACAGTATAATTATTGCGTTTCTCTTCTTCTCACTCTCTCTCTCTCTCTCTCTCTCTCTCTCTCTGTGCCCCCTCTCTCTCTCACTCCCCCCCCCCCCCTCTCTCTCTCTCTTTCCGTCTTCTGTGCTAAGGTCCGGTAAAACCAGTCCAGCGGCCAGTAAAGTCAGCGTTGACAAAGTGGCAGAGACATCAACAGAGCACAGTAACACTGCTGCAGATCAGTCTGTCGCTGCAGCACCCAAGGCCTCCCATGTCTACTCGATGCCCACACCGGTAAGTCTTCATGAACTGTGCTGCCGCCGCTAATTCTCTTGCTGTCGTTTTCTGCTGGAGAATTCTACCATCTTCCTCTTTTAGCCATAAATCATGTTAGTGCTCACCATTTTCTATCGAGTTGCGTGTGATATTATTATCAGTGAGGCATGCAGATTGATCATTACCCACTCACCTATATTGCTGTTGATCACCATTTGGAATTCCTCTTTTGCAGCGGAGTGAGAGAGGCGGCTCAGATAATGATGAGGCTCCGTCACTAGGTGGCTCAACGCATGGTCTTTCCGGCAGCCAGGGTCATCTCATATCACCCGACGTTATGGAGCTGATGGCAGAACTCGGCATTGAAGAGAACGAGAAGAAAGTAAGAATGATGATTAGATGGTCGCGTAGTTTTTTTAAGAAGTTGACAGGTATGTTTGTGCTATACCATATGAGAGAAAACAAATTATGATGATATGGCGATATGGCCAACGTACAAACTGAACACACACACACACACACACACACACACACGCACACACACCATTTGACCATTTGACGCCCATCGCCAGAGGCGATGATAGCGATGCTACAGCAGAAGCCATAGCAACTTGTGCGGGAATTGCACCATTCAACAGCTTGCAAGGCTGAAGAATTGACCGCCACAGTTCAGCCTGGTCTACACCACACAGCTATGAAGTGGCTTTTTCTGGCCAGTGAATCCCTACTTTTTGATCTTTTTTCATTTTTTTCCCGCACACACCACATACTCCAGCATGCACTGGCTGTTGGTAACCCCACCCAGGAAAATGAAAGAAAAGTTACATACACACACACACCTTGAAACCTTGAAACTGCCACCTAAAGGTGATGCAGTGCCTCAAAGAGGCAAGGAGGGCAGAGTTACTTCTTGCATTTGTGTTGAGCCAGGTACTGGAGACGTGTGAACTTCCGAGAGCAGGTCGGGCATGGGATGGTGCGGCGCTCGGAGCTAGAGCTGCATGTTCTGCGGTTGCAGTTGCAGTTGTGCCGGCGGTGCCCAGCTTTGCTCCGGAAAAAGAGGTCACAGGTGTGGCAGTGGTAATGACATTGGCTGCAAACAGGTGGCACACACACACACACACACACACTCACACACACACACATACACACACCACACGCGCACGCACACACACACACACACACACACACACACATGCACATGCACTGGAACTAAGTTTAATGTACCGGGCCCTATGTCCTGCTGATGTGATGTTCAGGATGAGGATGACGACGTCCAGAAGGAGAATGACGACAAGGATGAAGAAGATGGCGGGTCGGCAGAACCGGACACGTTTGAGGCAGATCCATTCTCACAGCCCGATGCCACTCAGTACGCTGTTGGAGAAAGATGTGTCTCACCCATTTCAGGCAGTGGCCTGGCTGAGTAGGTGAAATCTCTCTTGCAAAACAGCTCCCTTTAGTTGATTGGGTATCGTGTGGTATGGTAGCTATGCGTACGTTCCTGTAACCCTGCTGCTGTTACAAGCACTATGGCCACTGCACGTACCCTCCGCTTAGACAGTTACTCTCCTAGAGACAAGCCAGTTGTTGATCACCTGCCTGACATATGTGCATACTCATCTTGGCTGGAATGAAACCTGGCTGCAGCTAAAACGTCACCGTGAGCAAGCAACTACTCACGTGGCATAGTAGAATTTGAACGTGGAGCGCCCTGCTGTACATGACTGGGCGCCAACTTTATGAGAACCACATGCACGCAGCATACGCCTATCTCTCTTGAAGTCATTGTGCTCTTTCTCCCACTGATGTTTTGAAAACTGCTGAAGACAAACGTAACTACCGTTTTAAAAAATGCCTCCCCCAACAGAAAAATGCCTCTAATTATGACCAAACCGGACTACGCCACTTACAGCACTCCCTCGGCTACATTCCTTGCCAGCACTTGCTCTATTTTTGATTCAGGCCCGGGGTGCCGTGACATGTTTGCATGCGACAGCATCCAAGCTGTCTTTTTTCTTTTTTTTCTGTGATATTCTCCAATCCCTCCCTCATAACCCCTTCTTGATTGCGACCATTGTTCTCGAATGTTCTGGCGTTGTCATCATCGTCCTTGTATCCGGTTCTAAGTTCTAAGATATTGTGCCAATGGGTGAATAGTTTGATGGCCTGTTCGTTTCTGGTGGAGCACTACATACGTTGGGTGCTGCTATTTTGTTGAACTTGTGACTCTGTCTAAAGCAATGTTTACAATGTAGCTTGTGATTGCATGGGACCATTACCAGTGAGAGTGGCGATAGCTTGTTGAGGCCATCTACATGATTGTACTGGCTGTGTCTGGTTGGGTGATAGCAACATGACCGTACTGTTCCACTGCGTCCTGCATGCATGTTACTTGCTACACTGTGGAAATCGAACTGAAAACTGCATGAGCTGAGGAGCAATTCAGAAGCACTTCACATCAATGACAGCCAGATATGGCAACATTCGCCCACAATACACTGTGTCAGTGCAGTGCAGAGTTGAGTTCAACCATTTCAGTCCATTATACTGTATGTCAGCGCCTATAAAGCCATGGCCTTATGCCGGTACAGGTATTCGAAACACCGCTGCTTTCCTAGCTATTTTAGATGCAAAATGACTCACCCACTACGCCACGCCATAAAGGTCAAAGTCCACACAGAAATTTCAATCTCAATCCACTTGTTTGCCCTTCCTGCTGGGCTATGAGTGCGTTAGTACAGTAACTTTACGAATTCCTTTATTTTTACAAAACATACTACAAATGTCATCTCATTCAGGAAGCCATGGCTTTATAACTGAGACTGGGTTTATAATCGAATATACCACCATGGCTTTAAAGGTGCGGACATACGGTAATAGTCTGCTTTCATGATGCTGTGAGTGTGACATTGTTATAGTGACGTGTAAGTAAACTGTGAACTCAACTACATGTACTTACTTACTTACTTCACAATAGTCTGTGCCTTGATGAGCAAACCATCACTGCATTAGTGCCATGAATGCAAGCACGGTGACCCAGTATGTCAGGCAGTAATGCCACTAATGCAGTAATGGCTGGCCGGGACAGCAATGCTGCACACAGTCACCATGGTCACAGCCTCCTTACAGAGTCAGCGCAAAGAAGAACAGTATAACAATAATTCAATCATATTTTAACATCACCAAGGCAAGTGTACATAGGGGATTACCAGTGCCCCGAAAATACCAGTCAGTAGTAGGTGTGCCCTTGAACGGTAGATCTACAATACTATTACTAGACTATTCTACAGGCAGTGCACACTTATGTAGTGGGACTGTGAACTCAGTCAGAGGGCAGTAACCAGAGGACTCCAGTCTAGTGAGTCTAGTCTAGGAGGAGGGGGCTTTCACGACTGCCAAGCACGCCCTGCACTGTATAGTAACTCCCTGCACTGTATAGTAACTCACTTTAACACGCCATGACTGACGTGATGAAACTGACAATGACGTTCAATCATCTATTTAATATCAAGAGTACATACCCCCCCCCCCCCCCCCCCGTTATCAGTTATGTACTCTTGCTATTGTGGTTTGTTGTGTTGCACCTACCACCGGCACGGACGGTACCATGCCTAGCTACTGAGCTATAGGCTACCACAATTGTTCTACAATCATAATAATTCACCACGTATGTGTGCGGGTTACCACATGTAGTATCTGAAGACTGTTTCTTCTTTGTGCTGACTCTGTAGTGTACTTTTTACTACTACTACTAGTAGTACTCCTGTCTGACTACTGCCTGGTAGATTTACATGGTATGCCAGGCCTGAGTAATCGTGGTATAAATACTATACGGAACTACCGCCATGATCACTGACGTATAGAGTCTATTTGTGACACCAAGAGGACAATCATAAACACTGTAAAAATCAAGAGTACCATAACCCCCTATGTACTCTTGCCAGTCTTGGTGATGTTATGATACAGCCTACACTACAGCCTACACAGGTACTGGCTGGCTCACATAACACTCCTGCCAAAGAAAAACACCTGGATTTGCTGGCACGTGCTTTGGCCAAGACAAAATGGACAATCCACATACATGATTGTACAATCATCATAGAGGCGCCCAGCCACTTTTTGGCTTGCAAAATGCCCTAATACATGTACCACAGCAATGATAATAATTATAGTGCTGCTCAATGATATATTATCACGCGTACCGTACACGCTGGGCACTGACAGTCTGTGCAGCCATAGACCTGCGAACACTGCACTGGGCTGTGAATTGAATGAAGTACGAAGTAGGGAACAAACTTGACTCACATGGCCAGATTTCATTCAGCAGCACAATGATGCAACACACACACACACCCATTATGCACACCACACACACACACGCACACCCATTATGCACACACACACACGTCCAATATGCACACACACATGCACGCGATCCCCCACAGAGCCAGAGAATGGTCATGCAGGCCTCCTCAGAGAGGAAAACAGGAAAGAGCAGGCTCGCATATCCACACATCGCAGGAGAGAGAGAGAGAGAGAGAGAGAGAGAGAGAGAGAGAGAGAGAGAGAGAGAGAGAGAGAGAGAGAGAGAGAGAGAGAGAGAGAGAGAGAGAGAGAGAGAGAGAGAGAGAGAGAGAGAGAGAGAGAGAGAGAGAGAGAGATAGGTGGCAGGCTACCAGTATTCACAGAGGACAGTCGGCGTTGACAATCATGAAATCACAGATGCAGCGTTCAATACACTACAGAAACCTAAAGACATTCCAAAATTCAACATGAGAGAAAAGACAGCTATTGCCAGGTCATGGAGGGGCAGCAGTGGAAGGGTTGCTTGACGATACAGCAGCTAGGTACGACAGCATCATCACTAGTCGACACTAAACAGACCTATGCAGTAACAAAGTATCCAGAGATAAAAATGATACGACACTCAGCACATAAAAAATATATAATAGACACTCGGTACGACACTAGAGCTTGGGTAAAGAGTGTAGACAACAACGACGATGACAAGGGAAAAAGGACAACGCAGGTTCGATAGGCAGTGCAGAGAGTGCACAGGGATTAACGATCTCAATGCGAAGAAGACAAGTCAAGAGCTGCAGGTTTTGTCAATGGAGACGGTCGGCACAGATACACACATCATGAGCCGTCACCGTGCTAAATAAAAGTCATCTCAAGACAAGGAAAATATATACAGGTAAGTCTCAAGTCATCTCTCTCTTTCTTTCTCTCGGGGACACTTCATAAACATGCCGTGCCCGCCATACAGAGAGAAGTGGATAACATGACTACTTGGTGCACTCGCATAACACGTCACTGTTCCAATAATACAAGTTCAAGTCTCATTCAAGCCGAAGCGATTTACACTTCCATGGGCGCCGGCGACGAAAATAATTCGTCTTCACGCTTCTTTTTCTCTTCCTCCTCTTTCTTCATCACGTTTTTCCAGAAATTCTCATTGTCTTGAGCATTCTTGACAATCTGACTGACAACCATGCTGTGGAGCTCTCCTAAGGTGCTCTTTGCTTGATCATCACCGCAGGTGCTGGCAGCTGCAGCTTCTTCTACATTCTCGTCCAGGTCATACGTCTCATTAAGCTCATACGGACCGGGCATGAAGCCAGCACTAGCGTACGCCGCCAGGAGCGGCTGCAGGAGGTTCACGATGAACGACGTCTGCAGTTTGGGCAGGAGAGGGTTGTGCCTATCCATGTACGGTGAGATCTGCAGGTCCAGCTTTGCTTCCTCTTCACCTTGGTCATAGAACTCTTCGCAGATCAGGTAGGCCCACTTGCGATACAACGGGCCACACTTGGCTGGCCCGTTGATGTCCGCCAGCTTGATGCACATCTGCATGACGCTAAGACGATCTTCGCGTGTCTTCATGAAGATCTTGCCGTTGGACACATTCGCCTTGAACGTGCGGATCATGTCGAAATGCTTGGCCAGATCTGTAGCAAGTATCATCTCCAGGGACAGGAACCGAAGCACGCGTATGTCGGCCGCCGGCATG